TTAAAAAATCCAGAGAAGAAATTTCTGTTATGGAACAAGCGAGAAATATTTGAGCCCAGAGCAAATTCTGGGTTCGGTCAAGAGGGAGGTCGACTGACCGAGTGTCCATCCACCATAATCAAGTTCACAGCCCTCTCTGATGGTAAAGCGGTTACAGTCCCTCACCTGTGGCCAGAGGGGAGCTGCCAGACTCTGGCAGCCAGAGAGGCTTGATCTGACTAGAGACTCTGCAGATGGATTTGGGGCTCCCACGGTCCTCCCTAGCCTTCTACAAATTGGGTTAAACAAGGTTTTAAAGCAGTGGTTCTTAACCTTCCTCATGCCGTGACCCTTTAATACCCTTCCTCATGTTGTGGTGACCTCCCCAACCATAAAATTATTCTCGTTGCTACTTCATCACTGTCATTTTGCTACTGTTATGAATCGGGCGACCCCTGTGAAAGGGTCGTTCAATCCCCCTCGACCCACAGGTTGAGAGAACCGCAGTTAAAGGCCCTTCAGGGACTGTCTCTCCACCCTCTGTGATGATCGGAGTGAGAGGTGGTTCAGCTGGGAGACGGGATTTCTTTAGCATTCACTCCTACTTCCCATTGTGCTTGTCAGACCCTGGGCTGTCTGTGGTTCCTGGAGGCTTTGAGACAGACACGGCCCCTCCCACACAGGTTCAGCGCTAGTCCAGTCCTTCAGCAAAACTTCACCAATCTCTGTCAAGCTTTAGACTTATCAAATCAAAGTCCTTCATAATCATCAGGTAATTATGACCACAGTTATAGTCAACAATCCTTGAGGGGTGGGGAAGGAGCAATTGGCCGGGAGTGGCCGCAAGGGTGAGAGAACAGACAAGGGAAGAGGGCACCAACTTCCTCCCGGGCACCACCCTTTATGAGTCACCTGAGAGGGCGAGGCGTGGAGAGGTGACCAAGGTCAGTGAGGATAAACCGCCCAGGGCCCTTCCCTGGTACATAAGTCAAATCCTGTCAAGTGGATTGAACTCGCAGAGACCTGGTTGCACAGGGGAGAAAGGGCCCTTTGGGCTTCTCAAGCTGCAACTACTGACAGGGCAGGAGGCCTCATTCCTTTCCTTCGAACAGCTGATGGGGTCAAACCAACCTTTCAGTGAGCAACCCAGCTTAACCCATTGTGCCACTGGGACACTGTTTCTTGAGCACGCCGGTCTTGAGTGTGACGGGGTTTTCACCATAGGGCCGTTTCCCCAGCCCCACCCCAATGAAGAGTGGGTGTTTGCAGGCAGGCAGCTCAGACATTGCACACTTGTAGTTCAGGGGTGGGAGGGTTCTGTGGTTGGTATCCATGAGCGGCTCGGTGGGAGAAAAGGCCCAGATTCTGCTCCTGTGACATGATAGCCTGGGGACCCCTGGGGGCAGCCCTGCCCTCTCCGAAGGGGCCTTCCATGTTGGACTTGATTTGACGGCATGTAACAAGTTCAGTGGTTACCTGTACCCGAACCTCCTTCCTCCTGCATCCGCGGGGAGGTGGGACACAGCGCACACCTGTCTCTGGGTTCTGCATGTGGCAGGGCTGTGCAATCCATGGGCTGTGGTGTCAGAGCCAGTGGGCGACCGTGCAGGAAGTCCTTGGGGGCTGCCCATGAATGAGCTCGGCGGCAAACTGAAAAGCTAAAGGCTTGAGGGCACCCAGAGGTGCTTCAAAAGAAAGGCCTGGTGATCTCTAAGAACCCAATTAAGAAAAAAAAAAAAAAAAGAGCCCAATTAAGGGCGGGGGCAGGTTGACTCTGACTAAACCATGGCATCTGGTTTAGAGTTCGAAAGCAGTGTGAGAAAGTGGTGGAAAGACGTGGGGAGTTAGCAGATTGTCTATCTTTCCTACTACGGCAGGGGACATTTCCATTGCCCACCCCACCCCCATCATTGAATTTCCAATACCTAGAGGAGTGATTGGCAAAAAGTGGTGCTCAGTACTATTGTGTGGATGACGAGATAAGACAGAATGGAACTTGGGGAGACAGGCACTGCCTTGCAGACCCTGGGGAGCAGTTCTACTCTGCCCACCTGGGACGACAAGAGTCAATTGCCTTGCCAGCCCACTAACAACACCAATATGGCGCACATGCACACAGGTGTTTTTCCTCCCTCTCCTCCCCCCTAATTGCTATACCAATACACTGACTCTACCACAATTCTCATCTCATTGCACATCTTTAAGGGAAGCGGGGTGGGGGGGGGTTTGAAGTCCCTGTCTAGCTCGAATAGTCAACGATGGCTCCTTCCCACCCTATTGCAGGGCTCTCTCTTGTGGTGGGTCTTGAAGAAAAGGGATGGAAGGAGGAGGCCACTGGACCCTGAGTGGCTGACACACCGTCTTAGGAAGTGCAAGTGAAGTACTTTATAACCTTTAGGGGGGTGTGGTACAGGCATAGGAGCCTGGGGTGTAGTGGTTTACAGGTGGGGCTGCTAATCACAAGGTCAATTATTCAAATCCACCAGGTGTTGCTCTGGAAAAAGATGAGACCTTTAGCTCCTGTCAAGATTCACAGCCTCAGACACCCACGGGGGCAGTTCCGGTCTGCCACCTAGGGTGGCTATAAGTCTAAGGTTTTAACATTGGTAAAGAGGGACACCATTGATAAAACTCATATCCTGGCGAAATAGCCACATGGCAGCCGAAAACCGTCTACCCTAGCTTGTGCATTCTTTCCAAAAATTGGGACTTTTTAAAAACGCCAGAGGATGCGGGAAAAATTGTTAAAAATCGGGACTGTCCTGCCAAAAGCGGGGCGTCTGGTCACCTTATATAAGTCAGAAACGACCCTGAGGTGCAGAAACGATGAGTGGGTTTTATCTTCGCTCAGCTGATGCTCTGTAGCTTTTCTTGTTCCTTAACCCAGCCCTTCCTCTTCTTTCTGATTTCCTTCTGCATTTTGTTTGCACCTCTCGAGTGCTACTGCAGACAATACTTATTCACTGATGCTTCCCTTATTTCAAGAAAAAAACAAGACAATCTGTTTATGGTGGATTAGGGGAAGGTCTCCGGAGAAGATGATCGGGTTCGCACTCAACAATCCATATGCATGTTGTTTCACTTCACCCATTGTGCCACCACTCACCTCGCTTCCTCCCTGTTTCCCATCCCCGCCCTTCTTCCCTAACCCTCTGGGCTTTGTCCTTGGGTAAATGCCGCCCCTTTTGAGCCGAAACAGCTGATGATCCCAACACCGGACAGGAAAGTTTCAGACCACCAGGGAGACGGAGGGCCACGGTGTTGGTGTCTTACCAGTCTGTCTGATAAGTAAGCCTGGTCTATCATGAATCTGAGTTCTGTCCCCTAGTCCACTCCTGCTCTATCCTTCTAATGTGATCCTTGTTAGAGCACTTGGTGGGGGAAGCTGGGATCACATCGTTCTTCTGGTCTCAGGGCTGTAGAGACTGATGCTTGCGTGGCTCATTAGTCCATGGAATTAATCACGTCCAGGTGCGTTTTGATTTTCATCACTCTTCTCTCCTCCCTTTATTTCATTATCTAACTCTAACTTTGACTTGAGGTTTTACATATAATTTACATACCATATAATCCAGTGGTTTGACTCTATTAAACGTTGTGTCATCATCACCCCAATCAATTTGAGAACATTTTCTTCATTTTTGGACTCACTCTGAGTTCCCCATTCCCCGCATGCACCGCCCCCCACCAACCTCCTCTGCTATAACCCTAAGAAACTATTAATCTAGTTCCCATCACTATAGATTTACCTACGCCGGATGATTTCATACCAACCCACTCTACCCTCAACAAGAACAAAACAACACACAGTGAGACCTCAAGCCAAAAGAAAGCAGAAACTTACAAAGTGAAACAAATGAAAAATGAGTCAAAAAGGGAAGATGTTAAATTTTAGCCAATCTCTGCATTCGTTCACTTTGTAATGTACTGTGTGTGTGTGTGTGTAGGTTGGGGGGCCAGGGGCAAGGTTAGTCACATCCCTGGACAATGGCCCAGGGGAAGTCCATGGTGCCTTAATCACTGTAGGGCAGTGGTTCTCAACCTGTGGGTCGAGACCCCTTTGGGGGTCGAACATCCCTTTCACAGGGGTCACCTAAGACCCTATTTCTGATGGTCTTAGGAACTGAGACTGGGTCCGCCCACATGCAGATACGCCCACATAGGGGGCACCACAACATGAGGAATTGTGTTAAGGATCGCAGCATTAGGAAGGTTGAGAACCACTGCTCTAGCCCATAACGCTCTAGCCCATAACGCTCTCGCCCTCCCTTCCCCTTTCCCCTCTGGTGACCACCAAAGAGCATTTCTTTTAGTGTGAAAACATTTTCTTGATTATAATAGTGACTTCATACAATATTTGAACAAGGTTGCCGAGTCAAAAAGAGATGCTTCCCAAGCAGTGAAAGCACCTTCGTTATCTAAAGTGGTTCTGAAGGAGGAGGGGCCTCTTCCCGTGTTTTCCGGGGCGAGAACGAAACACCCTGTTTGCCACGTGTGTTTACCCGTCACAGAGTTCTCGCTACGGTGGCAAAATCTACAGTCCACATAAGGAAAACACTTCTGTTAGCTGGGAGAGGAGGCAATTCTTAGCAGATATCTGAAATGGGGTCAGAAGTGGAGCAAAAGAACTTGAGGCTGATACAGTGTGATGAAGACACTGGCTTCGATCTTGGCTATTCCCAGGCTCACTGGTTCCTAAGAAAACACTAACCCCAAATCCCAGAAATGCCAGCGGGTGATCTGAGAGGTTTCTGAAGCGAGGAGCCGAAAGGTGTTGGGGTCCCCAGCTTCAGGGCAAAGATGGCCATGGTCAAGTGGAGGGAGGGGGACATGAGATGTGCTCCTTCCCTTCATCAGTCTCTAGAATTTGTCACAAAAGGTAAGGGAAAATGAGTCGCTCTATTTAACTGAATAAGTTTAGGGGCGGAATACTGTCTCAACGTGCATTCTGTTCCTCCTCCTTTCGCAAGACCTTCCTTAGGAGTTCAACCCTCTCCTCCCTCCCCTTTGCTTTTATGCAGGACCAGCATGTCTACAACACCTCATCCTGGTTGCCGCGGGGACCTGCCGTTCAAATACCACAGACTCTGTGATAGAAATGTGATTTGGGGCATTGTCCTAGAAGCCCTGGCTGGGCTCGGGGCCGTGACCTCCCTCACCTTCATGTTGGCTCTGCTGGTCCTCATCGGCAAGGTGCAGGACTCCAACAAACGGAAAGTGCTCCCGACCCAGTTCCTCTTCCTCCTGGGGGTGCTGGGGGTCTTCGGCCTCACCTTTGCCTTCATCATCACACTGGACAAGGAGACGGGGCCCACACGCTTCTTCCTCTTTGGCATCCTCTTTGCCCTCTGCTTCTCCTGCCTCCTGGCTCACGCTCTCCACCTGACAAGGCTGGTCCAAGGGAGGAAGCCCCTCTCCATGCTGATGATTCTAGGCACGGCCGTGGGCTTCAGCTTGGTTCAGGATGTCATCGCTGTGGAATACCTTGTGCTCACGATGAACAGGACCAACACCGCCGTCTTTTCTGAGCTTCCTTTCTCTCGTCGCAACGAGGACTTTGTCATGCTGCTCATCTACGTGCTCACCCTGATGGCACTGACCTTCCTCATGGCTTCCTTCACCTTCTGTGGGTCCTTCACCGGCTGGAAGAGAAACGGGGCACACATCTTCCTCACCATGCTCCTGTCCATTGCCCTCTGGGTGGCATGGATCACCCTGCTCTTGTATCGTGTCCCTGGCAACAGTTGGGATGATACCATCCTCGGCTCAGCCTTGGTTGCCAATGGCTGGGTCTTCCTGTTGACATACGTTGTGCCTGAGTTCTGTCTGCTCACCCGCCAACGGAACCCCATGGATTACCCTGTGGAGGATGCTTTTTGCAAACCTCGGCTCATGAAGCACAGCACCGGTGTGGAGAACAGAGCCTACTCTCAAGAGGAAATCAGTCAAGGTACCAGAGCCAGATGATGATGGGGCGAGCCATAGACATTATCAAGTAAAGAAGGGATGGGGAGTGGGGAGGAGAAAAGAGGAGCTGATAGCAAGGGCTCAAATAGAAAGTACATGCTTAGAAAATAATGATGACAACATATGTACAAATATGCTTGATAAATTGATGTATGGGTTGTGATAAGAGCTGTAAGAGCCCCCCCCAATAAAATGATCTTTTAATAATAATTTTAAAAAGCAATAGGGAAATATTTTTTTTTTTAAAGTAAAGAACATGTGAGATTGCCCAGGTCCCGTCTCTTCTAGAGGAACCTGGTGGCATAGTGGTTATGTGTTGGGTTGCTCCCCATAAACAAGTTCAGCAGTTCAAAGCCACCAGTCTTCTTGGGAGAAAGATGGGACTTCCTAGTCCCTTAAAGAGTTACAGTCTCTGAAACCTGCAAGGACATTTCTACCCTGTCCTCTAGGGTCACTATGAGTCAGAATTGGCTCTAGGGCAGTGAGTTTTGGTCTACAGAATAAATAAGGTGCTCAGGGATCAAATATTGCCTAAAACCATCCAGTTGCCTGGAGACCAGCAGAACCAGAAATCAGTCTCTGGAATCCTCGTCTCACAACTCTGCACAATCCCGTATACTTCTCTCTGAATTGAGGTAAGTTGGAGCCAAGGGATGGAACGAAAGGACTAGAAACATTCCTAAAGACAAGTAGATGAGAACGGGATAGAAGAAGACCAGGCATCCCTTTCAGGACATTGAGAATGGAGGCGAAGGGCGAGCCCATCAAGCCAGCCGGGTTCCTGCAGTGGGACAGAGGAGAAGCAGAGGAGGAGCAAGCCCTTTTGATCAACCAGCAGGAGTCTCCATTTGGCCTGGAGAGCCACGTGCTGGTGTGGGCTTCTAAGTTTGTGGGAGGGAAGAGATCTTCTCTGACATAAAGAATCAAGTGATCTGATGCTTGCTTACCTGGAGTTAGGAGAGCCAGGTATCTGTGGCTTATAAGCAACAAGCGGCTGGCTACCCGATAGCCAGAGCCTGTCCTCATCAACAGGGCTCTCTCCGCTGGGGTCCCGTGCTGACTTGCTCTTTGGTTGTGCTCCTGAGAAGGCAGTATTTTGAGACGGGGTGAGGGGTCTCTGAGGCTCAGCTTTTGGCTTCCAACTCACAGTATGCTTTCTCCCTTGTCTTGAAGCTACAGACGCAAAGCTTCTTGGTGGCTTCTAGTTACAGTGGTGATGCCTTTGGGAGGGGTCTTTATGGGAGGTGGGGCTCAGGCCCTGCTTTGGAAGTGGAATTCCTTAGTAACCTCCTACGGTTAGTTAGCCATTTATTTAGCCAATATTGTGCAGCTTCTCGATCTGGTCCTGGGCTCGGTACTGGTTGAACAGAACTGAGCCCTTCACCTCAAAACCGCTGCAGTGTCCTGGGGGGATAGGCCACGGGTGACCAGCGTGCCACCTTGATAGCATTGGGCGAGCTCAGGTGGGAGTGCAAAGGAGGGCCGACTGGGTGCTGTCATGTCTCCTCTCCCTCTGTTTCAGGCCAGGAAGAGATAGGCGATGTACTTTACGCCCCATATTCCACCCACTTCCAGCTGCAGGTAAGCGGGCTGGTTCTCCTCTCTTTAGGGCAGTGGTTCTCAACCTGTGGGTCGCCACCCCTTTCACAGGGGTCCCCCAATTCATAAGAGTAGCAAAAGGACAGTGATGAAGTAGTAACGAAAATAATTTTATGGTTGGGGGTCACCACAACATGAGGAACTGTATGAAAGGGTGGAGGCCTTAGGAAGATTGAGGACCCCTGCTCTAGGCCTGCACCCCAGGAAGTTGGGTGCAGGCGTGGTCCTGGCACTGATTTCTAGATGGCTGCCTTGGGTGCAGGGTGTGTCTAGTCTCATCTTACCTGCCTCCGGGTTGAGGTGGCAAGAACTTTCGCCCTCGGGGTGGGGCGGGGCTGGGGCAGAGAAGGGGATCCGCCTTCTGGCAGCGGCTTCAGGACAGCATTGCTTCCTTTCAGAATCGCACTCTGCCCAAAGATTTCTCCATCCCACGGGCTCAGACGCGGGCCAGCCCGTACAATGACTATGAAGGCAGGAAAGAGGGCAGCTAACCCGCCGTCCGTCCGTCTGTCCGTCCGTCCGGAAGCTGGGACCACTGCAGTGAAGCCGCAGAGCCCGCAGGGAGTGCCAGTGGATCTGGGCACAGTCCAGGGCCTTCTAAGAACGGGCTGTGACCGACCGACCGACCGACCGACCGCTCACGAACCAAAGAGCTCGCGCCCCTCCCAGCCTGACCACTGCTGTTCTGCGCGGAAGGGTGTGGGGGTCAGTAGCATTGTGGCATTTTCTTTGGGCACGCACTCAGGCTATGTCATTGGAGGGGGGGTGAGGGTGGCTCTCTGGCAACTCAGGGTCATCATCGTACGATCCCCCGTCATTTTACGTGTGACTAAAGTTTGGTCATCGGACCCCCATGTTGACCCTTTCGTCTTCTGGTGCCCATTCATCTAACTCACGGCTGGTTTGGGAGCACCACTTGGCCCAGAGGAGGACTGTAAATCCGAGCACAAACAGCCAAAGCCGCCCCGGCCTCACCCTGTCTAAGCCGGCGCTGGAAACACTTCTTACCTGAGCAGGAGAGGCTCAGGGTCACCCTGACTACTCATCTTGGGGGGGTGCCCTGTCACAGGCCACTTCTCCTGTGCCCTCCCCAAACTGCTGTTAATCCCTCGACCTGTTCCAGAACGCTTCATCCAGAGTTCCTCCGGACCACACTGTCCCCTGCAGGCCCATGCCGCCCTCCCCAGGAGCCGGTGTGCGGGTGCTTCTGGCTGTAAATTCCTGGCACTGGATCCTCTCCCACCCCTGGCTCCTCGGCTTGCTGTAAATAGATTTACACTGTGCCCCCCTTGTGGCTTATTCTGTAAGTGGGCATCGTCCACTCACGGGGCAGTGGCCATTGTGTCACTTATTGACCACTCCCCACTGGAATACCCAATAAAGGTGCGGCAGGAACTCTCCTCTCGGCAGCCTCTGTGCAAGCACTGAGCAGGGGCCCTGAGGTCAGAAACGGTCCCGTCACCTGTTGGTGGAATTCAAGTTCCAAGTCCCATTCCACTGGGCTTGGACTTTGACCCTTCTCTCATAGGTCTCTCCTCCTGTTACATAGAACACAAAGGTGTTTCCCACCAGGTTTTAGGGCTGCCAAAGGCATGGATCCTGAGGTTTGGCCCCAGGAAAGCACTGGGGTGACAGCGTTGGCCTGGGGTTTGGTGGCACTCAGGAACGACAGGGAGGGGCCGCACAAGGAGGTTCACCCAGAGGTTTAATTTTAGGAGGGGATGGCTTCAGATCCCTCATTTGACAGAATTGGTTCACAAAAATCCCTTGGCCCAGACACCTGGCACATAATAATGATTAATAATCCAAGAAGCAGCTCTGTGGGGCCTGACAATGGCAAGCCTTTCTTTGCAGAGGGAACAACAACAATGATCTTGATCCCTGTACCCAGAAATTGAATGGCATTTAAAAATCTGCGAGCTGAGTCAGGGATGTTACCTCCTAAGAGCCCGACACCATTTTTCATCAAAAGGACAACCCAGTGTGGGACAGATGTGCTACAGGCGGGCAGCCGGGGTGAGGTGAGATTGGGGTGACTAAGGCGCTGAGTTAGGGCTACTTAACATGCCACAAATGTTTGCCTGACAGTATTTTCCCGCCACCAGCCTTGCTCCTCACAGTAGCCTGTGCATGTTGAAAAGGGGGATTAACAAGTCATGACTTGAGTCCCTCTCACGATGATGCTGTTTTCCCCCAAGAGGCCCTGACTCAGTGAGGTGTGCTGAGAGTGGAAACATGATTTCACACACTCCCCAAATACGTACCCCTCCCCCGTCCCTCTTGTGTTTTCCAGTCACCTCCTGGCAACCCCACGCAGACCGACCAAGCCAGTTGTTTTGAGTCCGTTCTGATTCTTGGCAGCTGCGCACGTGCGCGGCAGCAGGGGAACCGTGCACCACAGGGTTTGCAGGCGCGGGTTTGGGGAAGTAGATCGCCCGGCCTTTCTTCCAGGGCACCTTTGGGTGGATTGGAACTGCAGCGGAGTTCCTGAACTCTTGACAGTGTGGGGTGGGGGAGGGAGTGGCTGCATCCCTCACATCAGTCTCTCCCAAACACGGAGAGGACGTGGAAACAGCATGCGTGAGGGCTGTTTCTCTTCTAAGCAATAACGAGATCTCCATCGATTTTGGACAAGTAGGCTACCACCTCACCTAGTTTTCTAGTCCTCCGGGCTGTTAAACCTTCTGCAGGTCTCACGTCATTTATGCACACAGGTAAGCTATTTTGTGAAGATGGGGCAATCTCGGGCTGGACGTTTTGGTACCCGAGAATCCTTATGATCCTGAGAAGGGGGTTTCAAATCCCTCCCTATAAACCTGCATCTCTCCCGCTGCTGAAATATGTACGATGTGCCAATTTAACCCAGCCTGGTCCTCGGGTGATGTCAGTTGACTGATGGCTGGGAACCCACACGGTGTGTCCTTTAAACTAAATGGGTGATGATGTAATAAAGTGGAACGTTCCCCCCCCCCCACTGTCATTGTCAGATGAAAAACAGACGGCCTTACTCTGCCTCAGAGAGCTGTCCCATGCTGCGATACCGCCTGGCGCCGCTTGATGGCGGTGAAGCCCCAAGCATCTTCCCTTGGGGACTCAGCGTCTTTCCAAACTCCCTGCCACCCAGTGGATGCCGACTCATACTGGCCCTACAGGGCACAGTAGAACAGCCCTTGTGAGTTTCCCAGATGGTAACTCTTACAGGAGGAGAAAGCCTCCTCTTTCTCCTTCTGAGCAGCTAGTGGTTTCGAACTGCTCGCCTTCAGGTTAGCAGTCCCAAAGCAGACTTTTAAAGCTGTTTTCTTAGAGCACGGCCCAAGGCTGACTTGCAGATATTCAGTAGGCTTTACGTAAACCTATTTTATTTGAAAAGGCTTGTATTTATGAGCTATTCACTACCCCCTTCCCACCATAAAAAACTACTTAATAATTTTGGCAGAGGGGGCCTGGTGGCACAGTAGTTAAAGCACTCTTAGCTGCATGCCTAAAAGGTCAGTAGTTAGAGCCTAGTCTACTGGAGTAAGAGGTGACAGTTTAGTGTGCAAAGATCTACAGCCTTTGACACCCCTCTCCTAAAGGGTCTCTGTGAGTTAGAATTGACAGTGGAAATGGGTTTGTTTTTTAAAAATTATTTTGCAGTTTCATTGCCCTTTGTCTTATTTTTGTGTGTGTGCAAAACTTTCCAAGGTCTTTCCAGCCCATTTGCATGCAGTCTGGCATCTGCACAGGGCGGGGCCTGAGACGCTGCTGTAGGAAACTCCACCTGTATCTCAGTGGTGAGAACAGTGGCTGTGTGCCGGAGCACAGCCCCGACACAGCACAGCCTGGCCTGGGAACCGCTGTTTCCCACGCCCGCTGCCTTTTCCTTCCTTTTGCACCCTGGCTGTGGAGAACTGGCCTGCCCCGCCCGTCCTTCCCTTCCTGCCCTGTGCTCCTCTGCTCCTACGAAAGGCTTCAGGGTTTCCACGGTTCATCTGAAACATGGGGAGACAGGCACACCCCACCTGGGTTGGCTGCCTGTCACAGATACCAGACATGGTGTCTGTTGCCAATGGAAGGTTTGTGGCAACCTTGTGGTCGGCGAGTCTATCAGCACCGTTTCTCCTGTAGCACGTGGTCACGTGGCATCCCTGTGTCACATTTGATCATTCTCACAGCATTTCAAAAATTTTCATAATGCTGTTGCACACGGAACAGGCTACTCCCACCCCTATACAAGCAAACCCACGGCCACCGGATCCATTCTGACTCACAGGGACCCTGCATAGGGTTTTTGAGGCTGTTAATCTTTATGGGGCCAAACAGTCTCATCTTCCTCCAGCCAAGTGACCGGTGCGTTTGAACCACCGAACTCTTAGGTCAACAGCCCAATGCCTAGCCCACAGTGCCCCCACGGCTCCTGGAACAGACCGCAGGACAGTGTGAGCACAGCTTGCACACCCACACGGGGAAGACAGAACAATGCGTGCGACTCTTGGTGGTGATGGTGCTTTGCTGAGGTGGTCTGGGGCCAAGCCCGCAGCATCTCTGAGGTATGCCTGTGTTTCAGAGGCATAGTGGCATACTGCTTACATGTTAGGCTGCTAACTGCAAGGCCGTCGTTCAAAAGCACCCGCTGCTCCGAGGGAGAAAAACTGGGCTTTCTACTCCCGTAAAGTGTTACAGACTCGGAAACCCACAGGCGCAGCTCTACCTTGTCCTATAGGGTCTCTATGAGTCGGCATAGAATCAAGGGCAGTGAGCAGACTCAGAAAAATCTAACTTTCTCAGATGTTGGCTGCTGAGATGGGGGATCTGGGAAATGCACCTCCACTTGTCAGGGGATCTCTTTAGAAGGCCGACTTCTCAGTCATTTCCTGGAGTTCCACTTAAAGCAGAGCAGATAGTCTATGGTCCTCTGTAGCTACAGGCTGTTCTGTGTGTACAGACAGTCTGAGTGTCCACGGTCATGGTGGCTCACTGTGGCTTCTGCAACCTCCTGATTCCACAAGCTGCTAGTCCTGTCAGGGCGGAACATTCCAGAGCCTGTGCCTGTTAAGAGTCTGAGGAGTTCTCAGAGCTCCTCTAGGGGCACCTTGGCAGCTCTCGTTTTGCCACGAGGAGACCCAGGCCCTAGGCACCCATGACTAGACCTCTGGCTCTTCCTGCTCTTAACACCAGTGTGGTCCATTGTAAACATGCTTGGTTTCCCCCAAGAGGGCGTTTGGATAGAGACTCAAATAAAATCTTTATATTCACTCTACAGGCATGCCTCTCATTTTCCCTTTGTCGCCACTGCTTTTCCTTCATCTGATTTCTCCTCCCTCTTTTCCTCTCCCTTCTGCATGGCAGCTGTAAGGAGAGGGGTCAGCGAGGGTCAAGGGAGAACGTTCTCGGGCTAATGAGAGGCATCCCTCTGCAGCCCCCAAGCACAATGCTGCCCCCTTTGGCAGAAGCTGTCTAGGAAAGGAGGAATGGCAAAGCACAACAGACAATGTTGCCTTTTCCCCAGCCAGCATGTCGTTGTTGATAAGGGCCATCAAGTCGGTTCCAATTCATAATGACCTTCTACGCCACAGAAGGAAACCCTGCCTGGTCCCGCGCCCCCCTCGCGATTGTTCCGATGCCTGAGCCCATTGTTGCAGCCACGGTGGCAATCTATCTCCTTGAAGCCCTTCCTCTTTTTTACTGCCCCTGGACTTTACCAGACATGATGCCCTTCTCCAGGGACTGCTCCCTCCTGACACACGTCCAAAGTCTGTAAGACGAAGTCTCACTGTCCTAGCCTTCCAAGGAGCACTCTGGCCGTACTTCTTCCAACACAGGTCAGCGTGTCCTTCAGGCCATGGTATGTTCAATACTCCTTTCCAGCACCACAGTTCAAATGCACCCATTTTTCTTTGGTCTTCCTTATTCAATGTCCAGCTTTCACACACAGATGGGGCTAAATTCCATGGCCTAGGTCAGGGTACTTCAGTTCTCAAAGTAATATCCTTTTCTGTACTCTCTAAAAAAATTTAATACATCATTTTATTGGGGGCTCTTCCATAGATTATAAGAATCCATACATCTATTCTATCAAGCAGACATGTACCATTGTTGGCACCAACAATTCCTAAACATCTTTTTTTTTCTGGTTTTGCATTTATTTTTTTATCTTCAAATATTATCTTTTTGCCCATTGATATCAGCTCCTCTTTTTCTTTTGACAGTCCACATGGCCACCCCTTAATATATTATGTATGTATTATTTTTATTTATACATATACCCTTAAAAGGTCTTGTGCAACAGATTTACCCAATGCAAC